GTCTGCACATTTTTCTCCAAGATAATAGGTCTTCAATCATTAGTTTCCTAAAATGTCTCCACTTTTTGAAACTATGCAATCTTTGAAAATCAACATGAAAATATTCTGATTTGTCAATCTTTGATGCCATATAAGTTAACTGAATATTCCTCAAATATTAAATAACTTAAGGAATCAGCTGAAACATAACTAATAGCTGCAGCAGACACGGTGTCCTATCTCCAGGTTAGGACATCTTCTTCGACGTGTTGAAAACAATAAGTTGGGACTTCTTTGTTCAATATATTTCTGCCAACTTGATTTTACCAAAATGTAAGCCAATCACAATTACAGAGAAATAAGAATAATAAAGACCAAATTATCACTTGTATGAAAGAACAACGTACCTAGTCATGTTAAAAATTGAAAATACTCTTATAGTAGAACCTTGATAACAAGTGTTATACTTTCTTGTGAGTGTACCCATGCAAGTATAAATAGATGATAAAGTGTATATTCTAGAAAATAACATTTACAAATAGAGTTATGAAGTTATTGGTTAATGTGGGAGAAGATAAACATGACACACAATTAAAAGTGGGAAGATTAAAAAGACTTTAATAGTACAAAGCTGATAGCAGGTGGTCTAATACATTTTAGAAAGACTTTGATACTATATTAAAATTTGAGTTAAGCCTAACTCAGTCTTAAACAATGACTTGTAAGTTGAGGATTGCATATATTTATAAACATATTTCTAAGTCATATTTTGAAATTTTTAAAGAATAATCGAATAGTTGGTAGAAATGAAAATCATTGTGTAAAAATTGAGGATGAAAAATTAATAAGGTGTACAGTTGTTTCACACTAAAATTATAGCTACACAAAGGATTTCATCATAAGAGTACAAACAACATGAAAATATGTTGATTTTTTCTTTTAGCTCTCCTATTTTATTGGGATATGGAAGAGATAGCCTTTGAGATACAATACCATTTACCTGTTTGAAATCTATGAATAAAGTGATACGTGTATTTTCTCATTGTTAGAACAAACATGATTTTAATTTTGAATGAAAATTGAGTTTGAACGTAAACATGGATCTTTTAAAAAAAGTGAACACTTCATCCTTAGAGTGAAACATATATACTTATCTAAAATGACTCTATTGATAAAGTATTTAATTTACATTTGACTGATGACTAGAAAATGGTAAAATGTTACTTTTACCAAGTTTATAAGCTTTGCAATCAAATTGAACAACACTTAAAAGAAAAATCACTATTACCAAGAACATTGTATCTCAAATCATGAAGTACATTTGACTTTGGCTGACCAAGACGCTTATGCCATATTGAGAAATCAACTTTCAAGAAAACGAAATGCAATAAAGGGTATGGAAACCAAGACAAATTAAGAGGGAAAATATATCCAAAATTTAGCCTCCTTCACCATTAACTTTTTTGAGTGTTGTTCCTTAACAAGATAACTCGATTTTGAGAATTCGACTCTTTAATAATTGTCAACTAGTTATCTCATAGAGATAAGATTACAAGGCAAATCTAGAGGAAGCATATAAATTAGTTAGGAGACGAGTATATATCTCTGATTTTTGTGATGTGCATATGATTTCTATTAGCAATGTGTAATTGGAGACCACCATAATATATTTTGTGACATTTTTAAGAGTATAACAAGGACAATAACGTATACCGTCAAAATCAAATCTCAATTTTATAAAAATATTGATCTCTTTGAATAGTTTCATGAATATTTTCATTATAACATGATATGGAGCAACAAATTTTCATATGCAATGTCTCTCTAATCATCTCAAAAATTGATGAGATGATAATATAATTAATAAATTAAGAGGCTATTATTGAAATATGATAATATAGGGTTCATGCTGGAAAATTTAAGTTGCGTTATTGTGACTATATATATATATATATATATATATATATATATATATATATATATATATATATATATATATATATATATATATATATATATATATATATATGAGCTTCCATCTTTACAATAATAACGAATGAGATAAGATTGATATCAATATTAGGATAAACTAAGTCTATAAAACATGACACAACTTCACTGTTTTTTACTTTCCACACATACCATTAGTAGGCTTGGTGTCGTTAACATGATCCTAAACATATAATTGAAATATCTTGAACTGAAATGTCCAACTTATTTAATTTTTGTCATTGAATACATCATACTTTGCAGTTATAAGGCCTAGAAAACAATAAGTAATAAAGACAAAGAAAATAGTACAAGAAAAGAAGTAACACAAAAAAATACAAGAAAAGAAATTATATTCTTACATATATCATAATACAATATGTTTTCAACTCTTAGATATCACTGTCACACCTGAATTATACTGGTTAGTAGTGAAGTATCAAAACAATTATATGATTACAGTTGTAGAATACTTGAGAAAATAGTGCATTTTTAAGAGCACGAGTCAACAGAATACACACTTTTATTTGAATTCTATATCTAAATCAATCTCAAACCAACTGTTAATAAGAGTTCCTTATTCAAATTTATATCTCATGTTTTTAGCCAATTATAATCAAGAGTCATTTGAATCTTTTTTTATGTTAAAAATAATTTTGCCTCTTTTAATTAGAGGAGTTTTGATTGTTTTTTTTAACAATTATAAATTCAATATTTTATAGCTTTTACGCCATTTGTATTACCTCATTTTCATTTTGACAGATTTCTATTTTTTTTATGAATGGCATTTGAGGCGGCTTATGCTTTGTTTTCTATCCCATCATTTAACTTTTAAAATGAGATGCAAAAAACTATATTATAAGCTACGGGTGAGATTACAAAAATAAATTAGACGATAAAACTAAAACTCATCCAAATAAAAGAGGTGGAGAATAAGTATAACGAAAATATATGTTTTAGATAGGTTTACACTATCTTTCATATTTATATAATTTTTTAGATTGAAAGCAAATAGAAATCTTTAAATGAGTTTTTATTAAATCAAAATAAGATTTCAAAATTCATATCTTCATATTTTTTAGTTAATAAAGAGTTTCCATCAATACTAATCTTGATGTATTTGATATATTTTTGCTTATAATTGAATTAAAAATGTAAAGATATTTCAAGAGTATTTATTTTTTTACAAAACAAATATATATATATATATATATATATATATATATATATATATATATATATATATATATATATATATATATATATATATATATATATATATATATATATATATATATATATATATATATATATATATATATATATATATATATATATATATATATATATATATATATATATATATATATATATATATATATAAGTTGTTTGTTGAAATGTATTTATTCTTATCTATATATACAAAAAGAAGAAATACAAGAAAAAGAAAGAAATAAAATACCAGAATAATCATTAATGTTAATGATGTTTCTCAAATAAATTCAATGTGACATCAGATATAATTTATAATTTGTGTATAAAATAATGAAATGTTTCAAAACTTTATAAAATTATTTTAAAACAATTTTTATTTGATAGATAATAATTATACAATATATTTAATTTGGTATTATTAAAACCATTTTGTATTTTAACAGGTATATTACTGGGTTCTCTTATATGCATTATTATTATTTTTATTATAAAAGTTATATTATACATTTAGTTGTAATAGTGTTTTTTTAATTAAAATGCATTATTAATATTATTATTATAAAAGTCGTATTTAATTTATGAGAAAGAATGAAAAACAATTTTGTAAAAATTATCTAATATTTAAAATTAGTTTTTAACATATATAATTTCATTTGTTGATAAGCAATAACGTTAATTATTTCATAACATGCACAATTTAAAGATTTGTATTTTATACATGAAAAATGAGAGATAAATTATTCATATACATAATATATTAGTGATAGTATGCATCTAGTCTTTGCAATTGAAGGACATGATCTACAATAGTCATAACTAATTCATGAGAATGAAAGAGAAACAATTGTATATGATTGATTTTTTAAATCTTAATTTTAATGATATAGTAGTTGTGTTTTTATTTTTTGAATTAATACAGATAAGACTTGAATTTATAAATGAAAAATAAACTAATCATTTTAGGTTAAATTTAAAATTAAATTATCAACTAGGAATATCTAAATTTATCCCATATTTGAATATTTTTCCAACTAAGTTTCATTATTTTCAGAACATTTTTCCTCTAGAATCAGAGGAATAACGCTGAATGTTACTTTTATATCCAACTTTTCAATTTTATAGTAGATGTATCAAGATAAAAAAAGAATATAATATAAAATATAAGTGTTATTTAGAATCTTTTTAACAATAACTATATTTCACTACTAAAAAAAAGACATTTGAGAAAAGGTTTTTACATCGGGTATCAAAATATATGATGTAAAAAATACAACTAGCAAACTTTTTACATCAGGTATTTATTTGCAATGATATAAAAAATATGAAAAAAAATATATTTCGCTACCTATTACATCGGGCAAACGCATCCACCGATGTAAAAAGTTTTCAGAAAAAAATACGGTGGCATTTTTGTAAATAAGAAACAATGTAGTAGAAATATTAAAAAAAAAAACATGCAATATATTACATCGGTTGACTAAAAACCGATGTAATATCTTCACAACAGATATTAATATAAAAAATAAATTAAAGAATAAAATAATTTTTTCGCAACTTATTACATCGGTTGAAGTATAAACCGATGTAAAAAAGCCAGAAAATCAGCTTGCATCGGTTATTACAATGGACCGATGTAAAAAAGCCAAAACCCTTACATCGGTTGTAAGGTTCCACCGATGTAATAGGTTGTCCACTAAACCAACCCTTACATCGGTTATCCTATTCCACCGAGGTAATAGCTTGTTAAACCCTTATTTCACAAATTTCAGTATTCCACTGTATAATATTCTCCTGGCCGCCGTTTCCACTCTACGCTCATGCTCACGACCCAATCACCGCCGTTTCACTCCTTGCCACTGTACGCTCACGCTCACGATCCAACCACCGTCGTTTCCCAGCCACCATCATCGATCGCCGTTTGCCGTTTCCGAAGGTTTTCGACCGCCGTTTCCGTTCGTTTTTCCGCCGTTTCAAACCAAACCTCAGCCGCCGCTCACCATCACCATCGTGCCAAACCTCAGCCGCCAGTCCCTCTCGCGCGACCTCCCTTCCTCTCTTCTCACACCGCCTTCAAATTCTTCATCCTCTCGCCTCACTCTCAACCGCTTCCTTTCATCTGCCGCCGCTTCTCTTCGCGTCTCCAGCATTCAACATTTCGCAAACTGTTCGGTAACTCTTCATTATATTATTGATTGTTCTATGATATTTTCTGTGAACTTTGATTTGATTGTGATAAATTGGTTATTGAACTGTGCTGCTGTCAAAATCATTGTTTGAACTCATTTCAACTAAGAAGCAAAACACATATGGCATAGGTATAAAACAAAAGCGTGAGATCTACTTTGCAACATATTAGATTTATTTATTTTTTGAATGAATGGTGATAGAAGGGGACCATAGTAATTAAAGTAGAAAACACACAAAAACATAAGACATTGGATTAAGTTTTTCTTTGGTTCCCTATAGACATGTCATTGTCATGTTTAATGATGCGGTGGTGATGAATACGTGTTCATTTTGCCGTTATATATATGCACCATAAACCATCAACCACTCATCCATTTTTGAGAGAGAGAGAGAAATAATGGAGAGAGAGATAATGGAGAGAGAGTTATCAAAGTTTAAGAGAGTTTGTGTGTTTTGTGGTAGTAGTCCTGGTAATAAAACTAGCTATAAAGATGCTGCTATTGAACTTGGAAGAGAATTGGTAAATTACTACTTTAGTCCTTATTCTATATAAATACATGTGTATATATATTATCAATATGACTTTTGAGATTTTTGTATTTTGATATGTTATAAGGTTTCAAGAAATATTGATTTAGTTTATGGAGGAGGCAGCATTGGTTTGATGGGGTTGGTTTCTCAAGCTGTTTACGACGGCGGTCGACATGTAATTGGGTGAGTCGATAGTTTCGTCATTTTTATCAACATCACACATATGATTATAGATCTATAAAAAGGAAAAATATAAATTTCGTATGTGTTATGATTAATGTTTTTTCTCTATATATACATGAGCAACATATAAACCGTTATAACTATTTTTTACAGAAAGTTGTGGAGAATCAGATGAAACAAATTCAGAAAATTCGCAAATGGATGAAGTGATATCGACATTAGCGAAAAATGGTGTGAATTTTGTGAACTCGGCTACGAGAGTTAAGACGAAAAAAGGAAAGCCTAAAACGGCAATGAGGATCGATATTCCGGCCACCACTCCAACAAAGGCTATCACAGCTGTTACTTCTATTTTGTGGGAAGATTTAGTGAATAGTCCTGTAAAAGATGGGTATGGTGAGTTTATTAATAAGAGAAAAATCCAATATGCTGAGAAGATGATTAGAAGTGCTTTTGTTGAGCTTTATAAAGGTCTTGGCCTTCTCAAAACTTACAGGTATAATTATTTATTTCTCAAAATAAGAGAAATAATGTGTTGATAACAAACTTGTTAGTTCACCAACGTATCTAAATTTTTCATTTCTCAAAGTAACTTATTTTTTATGTATGTTTCATTGAATTGGTTATAGACTTTACCCAAATTAACATAAGCACTTGCCAAATTCTCTCATTTTTGCAGCTCACTGAATATAGTTGCATTTTCAAAGATCCTCAAAAAGTTTGACAAGGTATGACTTCAAATATCTACACATGTTCTATGTACAAAAAAAAGAACATGTAAAAGTACATAAAAAAATTTACAACAAATTTATATCTCTATTTACCAGGTAGCATGCCAAACAGCTTCTGCTAGTTACTTAAAAACAGTGAAAAGATCACATTTCATCAGTTCAGATAAGGTATTTCATTTTATATATTAACATTATGTTATAAATATAATAATTAATGGTTAATTAATTGTATATTAATATAGTATTTTGATTATTATTGTCATTATTAAAGGTTGTTAGACTAATGGATGAAGTGGAATCCATTTTCACAAAGAACTTTACTAGCAATGATAGAAAAAAAGCAATGAAGTTTTTAAAACCTCAAGTGCAGAAAGGTTCTCATATGGTCACTTTCTTTGTCGGTAATAACTTCAACTATTTATATAATTTATATATTCAATAAAGTTTTTAATAATATAGTCATCTTAAAATTTAAATTAATTTAACAATTTTATTTCAACTACATACAGGTTGATGCACTGGTTGTTTTGTATCATTGTTTTGTGTCTATGCAATCTTGGCACACTTGTGTGGAATATTCTCTCCTAACACAGAACCAGATTATATGGAAGCAGTTTATCCTGTTTTCAGGTGCAACATTTCATAGTTCCTAGATTTTATTTTATTTTATTTTATATAAACAATATAAATTTTATGAGGTTCTTAATTTAATGGTTACAATGATTTTTATATTATGCAGTGTATTTGCATTGTTTAGTCTACACTTGTTTATGTACAGATGCAATTTGTATATGTGGAAAGCGACAAGAATAAATCATAATTTCATATTTGAATTCTCACCGACCACGGCGCTAAAGCATAGAGATGCTTTTCTGATTTGTACTGTCTTCATGACTGCTGTGGTTGGAGCGATGGTCTTGCACCTTCTTCTAAGGGCTGCGGGGTTTTTTCCTGGCAATGTTGACGCCATTCTCGGAATTATACTTCTGGTTAGTTTTTTGATGAAATTTGAGCTTTGTTGTTTGATGCTACATATTATAATATCAAACTTTTATCATTGAGCTAACACTTTATGAACTACCTGTATTTTTTTTAGTTTTTCATAGCTATGCTCATTTGCCCATTAGACATTTTCTATCGTCCAACTCGATTCTGCTTCATCCGCGTTATTCGTAACATTATATGTTCTCCTTTTTATAAGATATATTTTCTTTATACTATCTTTTTTCGAACAATTAGATAAATTGATAACGATATAACATACTTCATGTGTACAAAATGAAAGTTCTAATTGTTTGATTCGATTTACTATTCCTACAGGTTCTTCTGGTGGATTTTTTTATGGCTGATCAACTAACTAGTCAGGTAAAATCTTTTATCCTTCAATGAATTTATCCTATTATTTTCCTTTGTTTATCGTTACACTTCTTAATAACATTTTTTGTATATCATCGTATACAGATACCATTGCTAAGACATTTGGAAACAACGAGTTGTCACATTTTATCCCGGGTTTTCAAAACGCACCACCCTGAAACCTGTAGTTCCGGAAAATTATACATGGAAATAACCTACATTATCTCATTTTTGCCATATTTTTGGCGTGCCCTTCAGGTATATTAATACGCCCTTAATGTTTAGTACTAATCTATATTTCTAAACTTTCTATTAACATTACTAAATTAAATTTTACTATTTGAATGTGAATACTAGTGTGTAAGAAGATGGTATGATGACAGTGATGTTGCGCATTTGGCGAACATGGGGAAGTATATCTCTGCAATGGTTGCAGGAGGAGCTAGAGTAACATATGGAAGACAAGATAACAATATAATGTTTTTTATTGTTATAATCACATCTGTGACAGCTACAATGTATCAACTGTATTGGGATTTTGTCAAAGATTGGGGATTTCTTAATCCTAACTCAAGAAATGCATGGCTAAGAGATGATTTAGTTTTGAAGAATAAAAGCATATACTACATGTCTATGGTAATTTCCATTTACCTCTTTTTAGTTTCAATGTTTAAATTATTTTTAGAATATACTTGTTTCTTTTAATTAAAACATTACGAGATATCAAAATGCAGGCATTAAATGTTGTGTTAAGAGTGACTTGGACAGAAACTGTTATGCATTTCAAAGTTGGGCCTATTCAAACAAGGTTGTTGGATTTTATGTTAACTTCATTGGATTTTATGTCTACCGAAGATTTTATATTGGTAATTTAAGTTTGGAAACTTATAAATAGTTGAATATTTTTGTATATTTTGTGAATAATATGTAATTGTAAGTTTTGAAAAAAAACTTATAAATAGTTGAATATTGTTGTATATTTTGTGAAGAATTTGTAATTGTAAGTTTGTTTGTTGTAATACAATACAAGTTTGCAATACAATTGTTCAATTTGTAAGTTTGTTGTGAAAAATATGAAAACATCGACCTAGATGTGATATATGTGATGTTGGAAAGCTATGAAATCTATATAGCGACATAAATATAGTCTGTGTGATATTGGAAAAATATGAAAAAATGGATACAAATTATATTTGTACAGGGAAACATCCAGAAAATAAATAATCTATTCCAAATAAATTTCATACATTTTACATCGGTTATTAGTAAAAACTGATATAAAAACTTTCAAAAAGGGACTTTTTACATCGATTGGGGATAATAACCGATGTAAAAAGTTGCGTCACTGGGGACTTTTTACATCGGGTATTACTTTCAACCGATGTAAAAAACTGGATCAATTTTTTAAAAAAATATGCATAATAACTGTTTCTTACATCGGTTCATATATTATAACCGATGTAAAAAAGGGACTTTTTACATCGGGTACTACTTACAACCGATGTAAAAAACTGGATCAATTTTTTAAAAAATGTGCATAATAACAGTTTATTACATCGGTTCTTATATTATAACCGATGTAAAAAAGAGACTTTTTACATCGGTCCCAGAACCGATGTAAAAAGTCCCTGATTTACTATATCGCCTGACTTTACATCGGACCCAGAACCGATGTAAAAAGTCAGTTTCACCCGATGTAAAAAGTCATTTCTGCACTAGTGTTTTTATTATAATAATCAAACAAAATCCAAACTTGACGGTCGGAAAATTTAAGTTGTATTATTGTGAATATATATATATATATATATATATATATATATATATATATATATATATATATATATATATATATATATATATATATATATATATATATATATATATGGGCTCACATCATTACTATAATATTGACCGATATAAAATTGATATCAATATTAAGATCAACTAAGTCTATGATTCATGACAAAACTTGAGTGTTTTTTACTTTCCACACATATCATTAGTAAACTTCGTGTTGTCAACATGATCCAAAATATATAATTGAAATATTTTAAACTGTAATGTTCAACTTGTTTAATTTTTGTCATTGAATACATCATATTTTTGCAGTTATGAGGCCGATAAAATAATAATTAATAAAGACAAATAAAATACAAGAAAATAAATAACAAAAAGATACTAGAAAATAAATTATTTTCTTATATATAACATAACGCAATATGTTTTCAACCCTTAGATATCACTGTCACACCTAAATTATACTGGATAATAGTGAAGTATTAAAATAATTATATAATTAAAGTTGTAGAATGCTTAAAAAAATGATACATTTTTATGAACACGATGTGATCGGTGGATCTGGAACTGACTGTTTTAAAGCTGGTTCGCGAAATGTCGCGGAAGCAAGAGTCGCCACCGTCTTTTATTTTCTCCAATCGGAAAGGACAAAAGCACAGAAAAATTCCTTTAAAGAGATTGCTCTCGGTTCGGGAGGTAGGTTATAGAAAGGGAAGGTGTTAGCACCCTTTCTATCCATGGTTATCCATGGGCTCTTAGGTACTTGCTCAATGTGTTTTCAAAATTGTTGTTTGCTTTTCAATTGTGGGTTTCAAAAATATTCTTTGAAAAGTTTCAATTCAACTCGTACGTCAGAGTGTTTGAAAAGTTTGTTTTGAAAGTTTTTGAAAGTGTTGGTGTGAAAAGATTTTGATTTGTTTTTGAAATTAGAGCAAGTATCCTTGAGAACCTACCTACCCTAAGGAATTCGTCTGTGTAAAAGTCCTTGAAAGTAGTGCTATCCCACCATTGAGAGGTAGGTAGCACCACCGTTGGAGGTGTTCGGGTCAATTCGAGTTTTAGGGACATGGTGATCACCGGAGCAATGGGAAGACACCTTAGAAGCTACCCTCATGCCAGGTTCCCGGATCATGAGGACTTACTAAGACGTCTTCTACTCGACGACCACCTTTCGAAAGGCAACAGTGAGGCGTACCCTAGGGGTGGTGTGTGAATTGTGTGTCATTTTCAGTTTATTATTTGTCTTGTCATGCATTGGTGATCTATCGATTCGATTTTATTTTTGGGCATTCATTCTTTCATGCATATTTATTAACAGTTATATATTTGCGAGAAAATAAATCTAAACTATTACAACTGGCGCGGGTCCACATCGCCAAAAAAACCGAACCCGATTTGACTAAAAATAAATAAAGCGAGTAAAATAAAAAGTGCAAGAAATAAATCTAAACTTATTACAAGGCTTTGGGGCATATACAGAGGTATTTAAACAATATAAAATAAATGCGCGAAATAAAGAAAACTAGGGCGTTGGACCCTTTTACAAACAATTAAAATTAATCAAGGAATCTAAAATTAAAATTAAATGAAAAATAGTATTTTTGTGTTTTTTAGATTTAAAAGAAAAAAAAAGAAAAATTATTTAAAATTAAAATGCTAATTCTAATGTTTTTTTAAGTTTTTTAAGAAAGAGATTTAATTTCTAACCTAATTTAATTCTAAATTAATTTATGTGCATTAAATAAATAAATAATATTATTAAAAAAAAAGAAAATAAAAAGTTATTAAACCTAAACTCTATTTTTTTGGATTTTAGTTATTAAAAGAATTAAAATCTAACCTAAAATGCAACCCTAGTTTAATTATGAAAAACACTAATACTATGGCAAAAAACAAGGAAAGTTAAAAGGAAAAAGTCATTAACCTAATTCTATGTTTTTGTTTTTTTGATTTTTATTAAAAAAAGATTAAAATTGAAAACCTAATTAAAACTAAATATTTACATGTATTTATTTAGAAAATAATTAAAATAAAAATTATATTTTTTTTGGTCCTTTTTATTTTTATGAATAAATACATGTAAATATTTAGTTTTAATTAGGTTTTCAATTTTAATCTTTTTTTAATAAAAATCAAAAAAACAAAAACATAGAATTAGGTTAATGACTTTTTCCTTTTAACTTTCCTTGTTTTTTGCCATAGTATTAGTGTTTTTCATAATTAAACTAGGGTTGCATTTTAGGTTAGATTTTAATTCTTTTAATAACTAAAATCCAAAAAAATAGAGTTTAGGTTTAATAACTTTTTATTTTCTTTTTTTTTAATAATATTATTTATTTATTTAATGCACATAAATTAATTTAGAATTAAATTAGGTTAGAAATTAAATCTCTTTCTTAAAAAACTTAAAAAAACATTAGAATTAGCATTTTAATTTTAAATAATTTTTCTTTTTTTTTCTTTTAAATCTAAAAAACACAAAAATACTATTTTTCATTTAATTTTAATTTTAGATTCCTTGATTAATTTTAATTGTTTGTAAAAGGGTCCAACGCCCTAGTTTTCTTTATTTCGCGCATTTATTTTATATTGTTTAAATACCTCTGTATATGCCCCAAAGCCTTGTAATAAGTTTAGATTTATTTCTTGCACTTTTTATTTTACTCGCTTTATTTATTTTTAGTCAAATCGGGTTCGGTTTTTTTGGCGATGTGGACCCGCGCCAGTTGTAATAGTTTAGATTTATTTTCTCGCAAATATATAACTGTTAATAAATATGCATGAAAGAATGAATGCCCAAAAATAAAATCGAATCGATAGATCACCAATGCATGACAAGACAAATAATAAACTGAAAATGACACACAATTCACACACCACCCCTAGGGTACGCCTCACTGTTGCCTTTCGAAAGGTGGTCGTCGAGTAGAAGACGTCTTAGTAAGTCCTCATGATCCGGGAACCTGGCATGAGGGTAGCTTCTAAGGTGTCTTCCCATTGCTCCGGTGATCACCATGTCCCTAAAACTCGAATTGACCCGAACACCTCCAACGGTGGTGCTACCTACCTCTCAATGGTGGGATAGCACTACTTTCAAGGACTTTTACACAGACGAATTCCTTAGGGTAGGTAGGTTCTCAAGGATACTTGCTCTAATTTCAAAAACAAATCAAAATCTTTTCACACCAACACTTTCAAAAACTTTCAAAACAAACTTTTCAAACACTCTGACGTACGAGTTGAATTGAAACTTTTCAAAGAATATTTTGAAACCCACAATTGAAAAGCAAACAACAATTTTGAAAACACATTGAGCAAGTACCTAAGAGCCCATGGATAACCATGGATAGAAAGGGTGCTAACACCTTCCCTTTCTATAACCTACCTCCCGAACCGAGAGCAATCTCTTTAAAGGAATTTTTCTGTGCTTTTGTCCTTTCCGATTGGAGAAAATAAAAGACGGTGGCGACTCTTGCTTCCGCGACATTTCGCGAACCAGCTTTAAAACAGTCAGTTCCAGATCCACCGATCACAGAACTGGCGACTCTGCTGCAGAGTCGCCAGTTCTGTGATCGGTGGATCTGGAACTGACTGTTTTAAAGCTGGTTCGCGAAATGTCGCGGAAGCAAGAGTCGCCACCGTCTTTTATTTTCTCCAATCGGAAAGGACAAAAGCACAGAAAAATTCCTTTAAAGAGATTGCTCTCGGTTCGGGAGGTAGGTTATAGAAAGGGAAGGTGTTAGCACCCTTTCTATCCATGGTTATCCATGGGCTCTTAGGTACTTGCTCAATGTGTTTTCAAAATTGTTGTTTGCTTTTCAATTGTGGGTTTCAAAAATATTCTTTGAAAAGTTTCAATTCAACTCGTACGTCAGAGTGTTTGAAAAGTTTGTTTTGAAAGTTTTTGAAAGTGTTGGTGTGAAAAGATTTTGATTTGTTTTTGAAATTAGAGCAAGTATCCTTGAGAACCTACCTACCCTAAGGAATTCGTCTGTGTAAAAGTCCTTGAAAGTAGTGCTATCCCACCATTGAGAGGTAGGTAGCACCACCGTTGGAGGTGTTCGGGTCAATTCGAGTT